TCACCAACTTGCGAGAAATTAGAAGATAACTGAAACAAAAGCCGAAACCGAAGAACAAATGATGAAAGACGAACAGAAATAGGATCTGCAAACCTTTGGAAACGAAAAACGATGACGAAAGAAAACGTCAAAAAATGACGATGATGAGAGGAAGCGTCTGAAAATTAGCTGAGATAGGGAAACGAAAAATTGCAATGATGAGAGAGAGCAGATAGCATCGAGAACTAGGAGAAGACGAAAAGTTTCGAAAAGACGGGACAGCCTAAAACCGCGAACCAACAAATATATTTAACAGGCTGCTACTGACCGTCAGATTTGGCGAGAAATAAACGGCTGAGATCGGGTCTCACGTACACACTTTAAATATGTGTACTCATTGGATCCATTTCCTATATATATATATATATATATATATATAATTACTAGCTAATCTCATTTAATAAAATATTTTCACTTTCCCTCCAAAAGAAGTTACATTTTTTTTAATTAATTATTCACTAATCCCACATTCAAGAAGGTTTCTTTTAGTTAAACCTAATTAGTTAATGGCTAAATTAAAAAAGTTTCTTTTAGTTAATCCCTCATTTATGTTTCTTATTCTCATTTATATATATAAACATGGCAATCATTATTGTTGTGCAGAAACTATATATTATTATTTTTTATTCCATTATGAATTGAAAGTAATATTAAACGGAAATTGGCAAAGTCATTCCTATTTATTCCAAAACGTCAATATTTTAATGCATTAAAACCATACTTTCAGCAACAGAAAAGTCATATTAAACGGAAATTGGCAAAGTCAAAAAATGAGGATTGACAAGGCATGGTATGTAATGGCATTATCTGTAATGGCAGATTGTTGTATAATATAGAAATATCAAGCATAATTAATAATCAACAAAAAAAGTTGAATCTATATGAAAAAAATCAAAATTAAAAACACAACAAATTATGTGGAACATTATTGGACACGAGTAATGCTCCCCTACCCGCGGTGGGCACATGTTAATATGCCCACCGCTTATGTGGCATGCACACATTGGTGATGTTAATATGTTCAAAAAAATACATCACCAATGTGTGCATGCCACATAAACGGTGGGCATATTAACATGTGCCCACCGTGGGTAGGGGAGCATTACTTTATTGGACACTATACAATATAGAAAGAAAAATAATTTCATTTCCCTATCATTATCAACACGTTCAACTTTTACCAAGACATCTGCCTTTATATTAAAATCGACTTTTTGCGTAAAAGTTTTAAAAATAAAAATTCCTTCAGATTCTTTTAAACATTAAACAAGAACTTCCTAATATGCGATAAATATATCTAAACAGATTTGTTATAAACTTACCTAATATTTCCAAATTTTGAACAAAATACTAAAAACTTTGAAAAACTTCGGCAAAAGACTTTGAACAACTTCGAAAAGCGATTTTAAACAAGTGTTAGCAAAGCTTCACTTACTGATATGATGAGAAAGACGAGAAAGAATTGAACTATTTAGTGTTCAAAATCTGAACAAAATACATAAAAGTTACATATATATGTTATAAACAGATATAAACAGATATGTTATAAAATTAACTATATATTTATCAGTAGAGCTGAACAGATCTGTTAGAAACTTACCTGTTTTTCAAACCCTGAACAAAATACATAAAAGTTTGAAAATGTTCGACCAATGTCATGTTCTCTTCGAAAAACGATTTCAAAAAACATCTAAATAATTTTGAATTATGTATAAAATATAATATATCTTTGAAGCTAATTTAAAAAGAATTTCGAAAAACGACACAGATCATTGAAAATATTAAAAGATAAAAACTATGTTTAACAAAAAATATTTCATCTCTTCATAGATTTGTAATATTATCGCCCGATTTTGACCGACCTGTTAAGATCTAGCGACTCAGATTAAGAAATCGGGACAAATATTTATTTTTCGATCACTACTGTTGGCCACAAAAACAACATTTTTCAGATGTTTTTTTTTTAATTTTTTAAGCCTTTACTGGGAGAAAATCTCCAGTAAAACATTTGTTTTGTATTGAATCTCGCCGTGTTTGTCGTAAGATCGGGTTAAGGATTAGGATTTCAGACATAGTAAATAACGAAAGAAGCGCCGACGTCAAACAAAAAAAGTTGTTTACATCACTCAAGGAGTTTATCTCTATTTATAGTCATGTTAATATGTTATCATTAACATGTTTTATATTTGATTTTGGCTACCCTAAAAAATTAAGTGGACTTTTAATTTGTTTTTTTTTTTTTATCATTCAATCAATATATTTCTTTATGGCCCAAAAATTGCCATTTTGTTCAAATGTTTTAAATATTTGGCACATATCATTATTTATCAACCAAATACAATTATTTATTTAGTAATATTTTGCTGGTATTTTTTTAGTACTTTTTTTTTTTAAATTTCCTATATGATCTATAGAACAAAATACAATAATTATTTAAAAAAATAAAACCATTATATGTCTTAATTTGAAGATAGTGATTTGTAGTGATGGAGATTCTGTTGATAGAAAAACCACAAACGTTATATATAGAGAATTGTTTAACAATATTTAGTTATTCTTTTTTAGAACATTTTTTCAATGATTATATTATGATTTTTACTATTGTTTATATCTTTTTATTATTTTTTTGTTCTATTATATTGCTTTTCGTGCAAATGCACGGGTTAAAAAAACTAGTTTTAAATTAAGTCAGAACAATCTCCCTCAAAATGTGCACTAATGTAATCGTACTAATGTAATTACTAATTACAGAACAATAATGTTGACAATAAACACCTATAATTAAGTATAGTGTTTTGAAGAAGTAATACTAAAAATATTTGAAACAAATCAGGACTGTCAATATTAATATAATCAATGATTAGGATTGGTTCCTAGTTCTTACACTCACATAGAGTTCTCATTTGAACTCTTTCCTATATATATATATATATATATATATA